TTTCCGCCTCCCTAATACTTCGAAGCGATATAACTGCGAACTATACTTTAGTTATCAGTGTAATTATTAGTGTGTTTTAAGTTGTAATTGTTGTTCGGTAATTAAAGTGTCAATTTTGGTAATTTAATCGGCAGTTTTTACTGTCGCGAACCCCAAGTTCGTAACAATATCAAAGATTACAGCTTGGCAAAAGAGAAGGGCCTAAACTGAAATTTCGACACAGTGAAGTTTCGAGTTAAAACTCGAGGTTATCTGTGAATAACGATAGTAGTATTTTACTGAGAGGCTTCACTGCACGAGCCTAGAGAGCCTGTCTCTATACTGTGTAGTAAGCACACACTGTATATATTACAATATATATATTAGTGGGATTTGGTAAAAAATATACACAAAAATTATGAAGACAATATAATTAAATTTTCATACAAATCTTTAACGTAATATTATCTTTAAAATACTGTACATATGTCGGCTGGTGTTGTAGGTAACCATTTGCTTTAAATATACACATCTTACCTCACAATATAACTTTACGTAAAGCGAGCTAAAATTAAGTGTTAAAGGAATTTATCAAAACAACTAAACGTAAGCAAATGGCCCTCTCCAACGCCGTCGACTTCATCTTTTTTATTTTCATATTGATATGGCAGATTGTCGATATGAAAGACCGTTTGTAGAAACAAAATACACTTACGAATCTACATCTGAAACAAATGCACTAATAGTATCCTATAACACGATACAATGTGGACCACGGCCCCATTGAACGTTATCATCGGAGAAGAATCGTGTAAATTCCAGCAAATAGAACAAAGTCAGGTTAATCTCATTTTGAGTACATTACTTTAACATTATATTATATAAATCACAATGAAGCAGATCTCTTTCGCTTCTTTCCCGTTATTTTTATTTTAGGTGTTTGCAAAGTGTCGTCACTTTAGTAACGACAGAACTGTAGAAAAAAACGTAACCATTTTTTAATGATAGCAACAAAAATTAAGTTCATTTCGCTTAAGTACTAGTTATTTGAAATTACCTACGATTTTGCTGAACGACCATCGCCATATTAAAAAAAACTTAAATCTATTCACTTTACAATTTATCTAATATAAATCTATGAAATAAATACAAAAAATCTCTTATTATTATCTAAGATAATATTTTGCTATCGCATGTCTTCAAACTAAACTATTTAATGCACGTTAGGTTACCGCTGTAAACTTAAACGGGAGGGACCCTAAAAATATTTGACTAAAAGAGAGATCAAATCATTGCCACGTAAAAAAATTAACTTATGTATAATCAGCAAGCCGTCACTCTTTGTACTTTGAAAGTTGAAAGAAAGTAGAAGAGGCCTAATCCGGAGTTTCTTTGAAAATATTATTGGCTTACTAGACATATTACACTGGAAATGACAAAATAAAAAAAATTAATAAAAATGTCATTCTATTTTTCACTCTTCGCAGCCATTTGTCAATCACAAACAATGAACAATACAGTACAACCTTAGCTCAGCCTAAGAAGAACATAGTAAGTCATCACGTTTGATGTTGTCGGTAAAGCCGACATAAACAATAAATTGCTAGGGTTGTCAGAACGGGAAATAATAAAAAATTAAAAATGTTTTATTTTATTTCACATTTCAACAAATTCAATAACTTAATCGCCCGATTAAGTTATTGAATTATTGTCCAGATATAATAACAATAGTTTATAGGACGCAAAGTTTTTATCGGCACATGTATGTAGGGTGAACCATTTTAATTTATTTGCATTACAGCACCACCCTGGCGGAAAGTTCCAGCGCGACTAAGAGCCGCTCGGGAGCGCTTCGGGCGTCTCGACCCGCACCGCACGGTTGCTCCGTCTAGAGCTTTCAATGAACGACTGTTAGTAGCAGTTAGACTGTGACCTTAGTATAACGAACCTCGATATAACGATTTCCTCGATTTAACAAATTCTTAGAAATCCCCTAGAACTGACCGTAAGAGTTCATACAAAACATACCATTACATTACGAATAATTTTTGTACAAACCTCTGTAACGATTTTTCAATAATTGCAAAACATAAGTTAGAAAGTCCACCAATCCATGTAACAGGAATTCAGGTTTCGACAGGTTTATATACGTTCAATTAATCATAAGACAATCCAGGAATTCAAACTTTTTTTTATAGAATAAGGGTCACAAACGGACACACAGTCCACCTGATGATTAGTGGATTCTGTGGCCCATAGACATCTACATTTATGTTTGACTAAGAATGATGCGTTGGCAGCCCGGAGGACTGAGATGGAATACCTCGTTTTCATTTAAGAGTCTCCGATTCTATACACCATACGAAACAACAGCATTAAGCTACTATTTAACGTTGGTATTCTGTGAGAGCATGGTCCTTCCCCGGTCGAGCCGACCCATTCGTGCTACAACCACAATATATCTGCAGCATGGCTCTACCACGTAAACAGTCACAATAAATCAATGTTTAATGTTGTAAGGGATTCATTACAATGTGTTTTACCTTTTTTTTAAGTTCGCTTAACTGGCTAAAACGAACCTTAGACCAACGTTAAAGTCTATATGTATAACAAACCTCATTGTAACAAATTACTTGGTGTATCGAATATTTTCTAATCCCCTTTAGATTTGTTATATTAAGGTTGTACTGTATTACTTTTGTAACTTATTTTGTGTAACTTTTTAAACTTACATTATTCATAAAAAGCATCTGAAAAGATATGATAAGTAAATATAAAAATTACCAAAGAAAATATAATAAGAATTTAGTAAATCGCCATTTCCAATTGCAATCCTTCAGACTTCATGATCTGACACTCTATATTTCTAATTTTTAGCGACAAATAGCTGCACAGATAATGTGTTTATTTAAAATATGTATAGAATCCAAAATCTGATATAGCGTGGCAACTTTCAAAAACATAATATACTATAACTCGTAACGAATTACACATATTTATTGCAATAAAAACGCTAAAAGCTCTCTAAATCATGTTCAGTGGCATGAAATGACATATTATAAATAAGCCTAAAATAAATTCAATGTAAAATACAAATCAGCAACATGATTCTTAGAGCCTTGCCTTACAAAATATTTCTTGAGAATTTCTATAGATTTTGTAAATTCAATTGCAAACTGACATATATTTATCAATACTTTTTATAATACAATTTTTACACCCATAACAATCTCAACAAGCTAACTGTATGTACAATGTTTGATTAACCAAGTGGCAAATACATGTGGCAGAGATAGAAACACTTTCTACATCTTAAAAGATAAGTAACAAGATTGAAAATATAGTTATAAAGAAGACTAAATAGTAAGCTGCCACATTACGTCGCTAGAAACCAAAAACAAAATCCATAGAATACTATAATACACAATAGAATGGCTGTCAAACTTATTTTGTACGAGATTCGGCGTCGCCGGGAGCACACATACAAGCAATTACGTCGTATTATCACTACTATAAACCCAATTCGCTGTTTTGACAGACTGAGTAATTAACTTTTGATTAATGTTCAAAAAAAATCGGTTAAATTTTAATACATATTCATATGTAAATAGTGTGCAATTTGGTATTTTCTAAATAATTTGCAAGTGAAATTTGGGAACGATTTTTACATCAAAACACACCTCGTGTTGACATTTATACGTGTGAATTGACATTTTAGTGCCTACACGGGCTCCACCCACTCCCCCGTTCTATTATGCATGTATTATAGTATTCTATGACAAAATCGATATGAATTCGAAGTAATTTAAAACAATACCTAAAAAAGTAACGAAAAGCGATAAAATTGTACCGAGAGCACTAAACGAAAGTCCGATAGATTTCTAGACGTCTTAATAAATCTATACTTATTCAAACTATGTATTGATTCGCAGTATCCTAAATTTTAACCTCCCCACTACCGAATTTATTTCATAGACACCTGCCAGAAATGCAGTGGGAAGATTAAAAATGCTCAAGTAATTTATGTTAATGTAACATAATTATAGAGGCACTGTGTGTATTGAAATCTATAAATTTCTTATATTTTACACGCAATTTTAATTTAAGGTGATGACTTGTGAAATTTTCAATTGTGATTCATTCAAGATTTTAGATTTTTTTTTAAACCACAGACACTATTTCCGGAGATCGCTTCGAACGTCCGTTGGCATTATATGATACAGTTTATTTAAAAATTGAGCTATACATAAATTTCCATTTACAAAAATACTTGTAGCGTAAATTTTCAGATCACATTATTTTTCTCTACGCATCACTAATGATATCAACGACCTTTTCGTTCAACTTTTTGTTAAAAATCGAGGCTGCTGTAGAACAATGGGACCAACATATGAATTTCGCTAATGAACGGTCCCGCTTACAGGTGGCCAATTTTTCTTCAAAAGAAACGACCATACACGATTCTTGATAATACCTATTAACTAGATAATCGCAATAAATTCATTAAGTTTCCCATTTTGAAACTTATTACATTTTATATTATATACAGGATAGAAAATTGTCACTAGCTGATTATTCCATAACTGACAAAGATATCCACAAGAAACAAACTGAGTATGCTACAAGTTAACCTTATAAAAAAGACGTAAATTATTGTTCAAAAAAACTATTCCTCCCATACACCATGGATATGACTGATGAAATTAAATAATTGAAATATGTAGATAACATGACCAATCTAACCACTTATTGACAAGTAAATTCAAAAACGTCAACAATACAAACATCTTTATTTTAGAGAAACGGATATTTTTTTCAGTTATGTTTCAATTATTTTTGGATATGTTATTCAAATGCAAAATGATCAGCTTGAGGACATTTCTCAGTTTCATTCTATATAGGCAATAATAATTTCAAATAGAATCATGTACCCAACAGTTTTCTACAGTGTTCCGTGAGTGCAGGGCGACAGAGGCGAGGTCCGCAGCGAGCGACGCCGGGCGCGCGGGCTAGTTCAGCGTTCAGTCTTTGACGAGCCTGTAGATGTGGTGCTGTGCGCCGTGCTCACTGTTCGACACTTCAAACACAAACGCCGCACACAACAATGTCTCTTGGGTATCTCTATTTGACACCACCTGTGGGAAAACGTTTCAATTAAAATCCACAGTTGATCCTAACCGACATTTTATTGCAAACTTTCGAATAATACTCCTCTAAACCGTTTTATAAGATAATACAGAAATATTATAAGATATATATATATATAATAATAAGAAACATGGCCAAAATATTAGACTTAGATCTAATCGCGAGTGCCATTCGCAGTTTGAAAGTCATTATTCAGCTTAATAATCCGTTGGGCTATGTCGGTCACTCTGGTTCTACTGCGGATATGTTCATTTCTAAGATTATCACGCAGAGAAACCCCGAGCATAGCCCTCTCCATAGCTCGCTGAGCAAGAGCGACCTCATACGGCCAGCAATGAAGAACCACGTTTCAGTTCCATAGGTCATCAATGGCAACGCACTGGTTATACAATCTAGTTTTCAGAGTTTGAGGTATACCTGACGAGAAGATGTATCGAATTTCCCGAACGCTGCCCAGCCGAGTTGAATTCGTCGATTGACCTCTCGGTCGAAGTTGGACTTTACCTAGTCTACCTATTTGCCCCAGGTAAACATACTCGTCAACAACTTCGAGTATAGTGCTCCCAACAACTACCGGCATAGGTATGACATGGACATTAAACATGATCTTAGTTTTGTCCATGTTCATGCTAAGACCGATCCGTTGGGAGTCAACATTGAGGTCATTGAGGATAGTGCTTAGGTCCTCCAGCGATTCTGCCATAACAACTATATCGTTGGTAAATCGAAGTGAGTGATTTACTCGCCATTGATGTTAATACCGTATCCTTTCCAGTCCAGTAGCTTGAAATCGTCTTCCAATGCAGCGGTGAAGAGTTTTGGGGATATAACGTCACCCTGTCTTACACCGCTCTGCAGTTGGATAGGTATCGAACTCTTGGTTCTGTACTCGGATAACCATCGTAGCCTTACTGTACAAACACTTCAGCACTTTGATGTACCGACAGTCAACTTGGCACCGCTGAAGAGGCTGTAGCACCGCCCAAATTTTGACGGAATCAAAGGCTTTCTCATAGTCCACATACGCTAGGCAGTGGCAGATTGTACTCTTCGGTCTTCTGTACAATCTGCCGCAGGGTATGTATGTGGTCTATACTACTGAAGCCTTTTCGGAAACCGGCTTGTTCGGGAGGCTGGAAGTCGTCGAGTCTGCGTGCGAGACGATTCGTAATGACTCTCGAAAACAGCACGTAGACGCGGCTCAGAAGGGAAATCGGTCTGTAGTTCTTCAAGAGAGCGTTGTCGCCTTTCTTGAAGAACAAGACCACCGCACTTCTGCTCTACGCCTCCGGAGTAGTGTCACCATAGAGGACGGAATTGAAGATCTTCTGAAAGACATTAGGCACCGGTGTTCCACCCGCTTTCAGAAGCTCCGCTGTAATTCCAACCTCGTCAGGGATATCATCGGAATAGTGTCGGATAAGACTTGCTCTTAGATCGTTACTCACACCTGCGTATGATTCCAACGACGATGTGTATGTACATCTGCCCACAGAACCCTCAATCTCACTCAAATCTCAGGTGTCCCGGAAACGATGCAGTAACACTCAATCTTCAGGTAGACTTTGGAGCTCTGGTTCCAGTCGATTGCTTCTTCAATAAGAGTCGTATTAAAGTTGCGTTAGTCCCGCCGCATGTATTTGGAGATCTGTCTGTTCAGTTCAGCCTGTATGCTTTCAAATCTGCTGACCATTGTAGCCTTATCTCCCGTCTAACAGCCATGAGATAAAGAGTGTGATAGGAGAGTTTTTATGTTCTTCTGCGGCGGGTCTTGCAGAACTTAGCTCCGATCGCATGGACAGTTTCCACTAGCTTGTCATTCATATCGTTCACTGCATTGCAATCTAGTAAGCACTGAAAGCGATTTTGTAACTCTAACTGAAAGGTTTCAGGGTTTTGGATTAGAGCACGAGGAGGATATAAGGTACGCAACCCTCGTCGACACACTGCCAATCTTTACAACGTTGTTAACGAGAGACTTATGGACGATAAATTCAACACCTGGGACAGATGGTCGCCCTCCCGGTGATAGAACAAGTTGCTGGATTCGAGTCACCGTGTCCTCCCTCCTCTCTTCGGACCTTGGATAATCCTAAAATATTCCAGCGCAACTTATCTTGTCAACTCTTCTTCCAGCTCCAGGATCTTCTCGTCAGTCCTCAGGGTGCGTGCGTTATATGTTGCTATGTCGAGTCGTCGTAGGTGGCAACCGAACTTTCACCGGAGATTCTCCGTTACAATGGTCGCCACCGTAGCCAGGAATAGCGGGGCCGCCGGGGACTGGAGGCCGTATCTTCGTAACTATCATGGGGGGTATATTGCCATAGTTGCCACGCATGGCGAGCGGGTTAGCAACCGCAGTTTTTTTTGTACAATTGCCGCTATCACGAAGATGCTGCTGTCCATCTCCTGCCTGTGTCCCTCTGTCGCCTCTTACGACACCCACGGGAAAATATGTGGTAGTGGATATTATTAACCGCCACTACACGGCACATATGGGTATTTATACACATTTGGTATTTGCAGAGATGTAATGTTAATTGTGTTGGTGTTCAAAACAATAAAAATAAACGGAAGTACCACTAACACTATACTCTGTGTCACTGACTAAAACGTTTGTGGTCCGTCCACAAATACAAAGACACTCATTTAATCATTCTTTCCATGGAGTACAGAGGTAAGAAAGACAATCTCCCATAGGAGAATAATTGAAAATGTGTCCATCTGTAAGCATTAAATAACAGTTCAAAAACTCTCCACTACAGTGCTCGAGTAGCTACAAGGTATGATAAATCGCCGTAAAATACGTTAAGATGATACGTGATTTTGAAAATTACAATTTCGAAAGTAATAAAATAATTATTGTAAAAAGAATTATGGTGAAAGTCTGTGCAATAAAAAAATTATAAAAGTTCTTTAAAATTTAGACTGTAGCTACAGTGGCGCCACCCTTATTTAGCGCTTTCCTACGGATACTTTTTTATACAGAGTCTGTACTCCTTACCTCTACACTCCATCATTAATTCATTACAGAGTATTAAACTTTATTGTTGAACACAGACCTCTCCGCATATTGCCTCGTAAGGGGTAATTTGTAGTTACCATGCTTGGCAAGCGGATTGGCAGACGCACTTTGTGATGTACTACAGTAGCCCGCATGACATAATTATACATTAGAGTTAAATTTAGTTATTAAGGGGAAATATAATGTCAAATGGCTTAGCAAGATCCTTCGTTATGCCGAAAATATTGCAGCATTAATTTTGAAATAAATATATGGTAAAGTTGAGGATTATAGTTAGTGATTATGTTAGACGAAAACACGATTTCGTAAAATTTTCTCGATAGAAAAAAAATCCAAAGTTACCTCCAAAATAAACAATAAACCGCTGTTATTCATAAAATACTTTAAATAAGATCATGAAACTTTGCATACTAACTGAACTAACTATAAAGCAGTGCTTATGTTATTTACTTTTTTTAAAATACCATTATTTTCACTGTAAAAAGAAATTACCTAAACTATCGGCGTCTTGAGCTTGATTCCTGTCGTTCCGTTAGTATCGCTTAGGCTTTTGAAGAGAGGAGTTGTGTCGCTTACGATCAGAATATACATTACGCAACAGTACGACGTAAAATTAAAATGGGAAATAACCGTGATAAAAATAAGAAGCGGCTGGCTTGGCTTTAAGAAACAGGCATAAATATGATAAACCTAATGAAATAAGTGTCTAACGACCTTTCTACTTACAGTATTAGTGATTACAAATATTTCGGTACATAGCATACGACGCGCGGGGAAGTGGGGGAGAAATTAGAATTTGAGCTGACTTACTCTAACCTCTTAACTGTTAATCTAATTAAAATTTTAGACAGATCAACACGTCTCCTTCTCATTGACACCTTCCAACAGTTTTTTTTATTTTCTGCTTGCTATTAGGATGATGCTACCGCACATCCTCTGGATTATTTTCCATTGTCAGTTCTTATAAACGCCCACAAGACGATACGGGGTTGTGGATATTCTTACACCATCAATAGATGGAACACAGAGGCATTTACTCATCTTAATATTCATGTTCGTGATATAACGGCTAATGCAACATATAAATATACAGTTCTGTACTATGTATTAGTAATATATGAATATAGTGTCAGAAAAATGGACGCAATTACAACCAGACTCGAAGATCAACCATTTTTTTTTTGCATTAATGTTGGCTATAGATAATATTCAAATTCAGGTGTTGCGGGCAATCGAGACTCTAAATGCCTCGTAGTTATGTACAATTCCAGGAGGAAGATGACTTATTTTGGCTGCAGCTCGACAGCAGGGCCACATATACTACAGAATACCAACGTGAAATAGCATGAATCTTAAGAACACTGGCAGAAATGAAATTCTCCGAGTTAAATCAAGGTGAAGTGAGGTATCAGAGGTATTTATAAAGAAGGACGTGAAGGAGCCTAAATCCGTAAACACTTCCGCACACTATCGCAGCTCCGACAAAAATTAGCACTGAGTGGTTTTAGCCAGAAGGAATCCTGCATATTCTGTCTCTTGCCCCGCGACAAACAGATCCAAAAGGCTTTCCTGACAGGAAAGAATGAAGTGCTGACCTGCAGTATAGTGAAGTTCTCGAGCACGCTGTTCATCATGTACTTCTCGGGCAGGTGCTTGAGCTTGTGTATGAAGTTGACCATGTACTCGCACATGGGCGAGCGCTGTATGCGGTACACGAAGCGTCCGGCTTCGAACCGCGCGTACTCCGTTTCCACTTTTTCCACCACTTGCTTGCCGAACGAACACACCTTCGTGCTGCACGTGATCGTCATATTCTCGTTACTCTCGTACCTGCTCAATAAAAACAAAACACATTTAATAGTTTAAGTTTCTCGTGCCTATAAACTGCATACAGATCATCAATATTCATGTTATCATCAACTCTAAGTAGAGGAGCTAAAGCCATGGCATTATTTTTTTAAGGGATCGGCTGATACTATGCAAATAGCTTAGATCATACAGCCATGTCCTGCCCTGAAATTTTGAGATTTTGACGATAGCTTCAAGCATCTCAAGACACATTAGCGGATAAATGCTTGAGATTTGTATCACCCCGTACCTAGTTATACCAATTTCACTAATGCTACTATAACAGTAAAATCGCACAACTTTTACATATAAAAATCAACTTGAAACCATTATTTAAACGATGATACAGGAACTGCAATCTGCTGGCAGCCGAATTCCCCCGCTCAAAAACACTTCATGTTAATTAAAATATTATGTACATCCCACCAAAAACATAAATGTGTAAAGTCCTTGGCAGTTTCACTAAACTTTATAGAAGTTGCTTAAATAATAGGACCTATAGAATATTTAAATTATTATTTTTATTTAAAAAAAAAAACTCGCAGTGCTGCGTTCGGTAAACGGCTCCAATTCTTTTTGTCTGATATTCCTCAAATACTTAAGACGAAAGTGTACAACCGGTGCATGTTGCCACTGATGACTTCCATAATTGAAACTTGATCCTCCACTGCTGGCTGTATGAGGAAGCTTAAAGTCATTCAGCGTGTGATGAAAAGGGCTATGCTCGGAACTTTTCTGCAGGATAAAATCCGTAACGAGAGTATTGGTAGAAGAATAAGAAGGATCAGATTAACTGACATAACTCAGCGGATCAGTAATCTGAAGTAGCAATCGACCTCCCATATAGCTCGAACATCCGATGAAGCGAAGAGTTCTTTGTTGGTAGCCTAGTACTGTCAGGCGCAGTGTTGGGCGACCCTCCATGTTCGGCAGTGGATTTGTGATGGGCCGTAGGAGTAGCAACAGTAAGAGTGTCTGCCTTGTTGATCTAGTGGTGGAAAAATAATTATTTTGATCACGAGGTCCCGGGTTCGAATCCCAATCAGTTGTTGGGTTTTTATGTTAAGAAATTCTCAGTAACAGCCAGAAGCCAGCAAGTTGTTGGTGTTTCAATCCCGTGCCCCTGGAAAAGTACGTAAAGCGGTTGGTCGTGCGTTTAATCCATTCGGTAGTGTTGGTTACCGTCCCATCGCACTATGAGAGTGAGGAACAAAGAGTGCACCTGTGCTTGCGCATGCACTTGGGCACTATAATCCTGTCTTGTGGAGATGGCTAGTCCCCGTTAATACTGGCCGCCGTGAATGAAATTCGGTCTGAAGGACATTATTACTAGGAATAATATACATAAATATAAACGTCTAAAATATTACCCAGTGTTACATTAGGAATATTTCGAGCAGGTAACACTTACACACTTGTAACTCCGTAGAATGCACCAGGGTCATCGAGGTTGTTGGTGTTAAGGTCTGCCCAGAACTTGACGAGGAAGAACGCGTTCCTTGGTCCCTTCTCGTACAGCTCCTTGAGGCCGCCCTTCTTCTCTGGGAACTTGTCGTTTATCTGTTGCACGTCCACTGACTGGGGAACAAATTGTTAGTTTGTTATGTTATTTTACAAATGTCTTTAGGTAAGTCCGCGCGGTATAGTGTTGCCTAGATAGTAGAAAAATATTCCTTAAATAAAGTAGAAATATATTTCAACACACGTAAGTGGCTTGGTATTAGAGTGATATCTCTCCACTAATGAATTCTTTTCACCACTAGTCTTTAACCACCAATTTTAGTGGAAAATCCACTAAGTTTGCAAAAATAGTGCAGTAAAAAAATCGCTGTGGTGTCAAAGTTAACTAACATTTCCTTTTCTTAAATAGGAGGTGTTTTACAAACATAAATTGCACTTAGACAAACATCCAGACCCAGAACAACTATTTGTAGGTCATTCAAATACTTGTTCCTTGTATGTTACACTGATGTAACAATTTTTTTTGTGTAGTTAGTTCCTACACAAAAACATTAAAATTTGTCAATTCTATACCTTTAAACGAGGAATTCTTGTATGTATATATATATATATATATATATATATATATATATATATAATCGGAATCTCGGAAACGGCTCCAACGATTTTCATAAAATTTAGCGTCCAGGGGGGTTTCGGGGGCAATAAATTGATCTAGCTAGTATTTATTTTTAGAAAATGTCCTTTGTTCGTGTTTTCAGGCAATAAAAAACTGCTACAATATAAGAACGTAAATTTTGACGCTGTATTAATGATCGAAATAGCTCAAGTAGATATCGGGTCCCGAGATCGAAGTGCCCCAGTTCGCGTACTGTCTTCGGTGCGACCTTTTTTCCTTTTTTATTTCAGTTCCCTTCTTTTGTGAGAAAATCTATTATTTCGAGCCCTTCTTTTTAGCATTTTTTTAAAATACGAAAATTTAAATTAAACTAATTGCACTCATGATTTTTAATCAAATGAGTAGTTCAGTTTTTTCAATTATGTCGGTAAGATCAAAAAATATTATTCATATTCCATCAGTAGGTATGTAATTTTTATCTAAATATATTTTCCAAAACACGACAATTAAAAAAAAATACCGGACATAGCTCGGTCATCCAGGTACTATATTAAATACCCGATATTCACATGAACAACGAATCTGTATTTTGATTCCTAATCATAATGGAATGTGGACCGCATGCTCGTTTGTCACCTGTAATTCTTAATCATAATATAATCATAAGCTCTCACTCCCGTCATCCTGAAGTTTAGGCAGAGATTACGGACTTACATTTGGCACGATCCTGATACACCTCTTTCGCTCTTGACTCATCTATATATCTACAAGTACATGGTCGTCGGTTAAAGATACTCCTCATTTGAAGTATCTTTAACGATGTGACCAAGTTGATAGATAAACCTTTATCTAAGGCGACCTTTGCCAACTCTGCCACTCACCCTTGTATAAAAAATAATTTATAACATTTATTTGTATATGAAAAGTTATCACCACGCTTGACCAATGGCTGCGTTTGGCAGAAAAAAGCGCTAGCAAGCGCTGGTAAGCAAAATGGCGAAACTAAACATTTTTCGGGCAGTACACGTTTGTTAACTTCAGTAGCGCTGACACAATCCGCCGTTTTGCTTATTTAATTTGTTTGTTTTGAAGTAGAGTTTATAAGTTTATTACTTTCAAGTAATATAATGACATGAATAAACATATTATACATACATGATTGGGAAGTTTTTAATATGAATACAACATTTACAAACATATGTTTAAATTAGGTTAGGTTCCCCGGTTAAAGCTAACTTCGTGTCCTAGAGGAAAATAGCTACTTACGATTTGACAGCGCTTACCGCTTACGATCATCATTTTGCTTACAAGCGCTTGCTAGCGCTTTTTTCTGCCAAACACAGCCATTGTCAATCAATACCATTTGTCTCACACTATTGAAAGTTACACAAAAAGGAAAGTACTTACTTCTAATAAAGGATCCGCGTACGTGACCGTGCCGCCTATGTGGACGAAAAGGTGCTGCGCCGGCGCCGTACTTGGGGGGTACTGAAAATAATTATTTAAAATTAAAATCGCAAAAAAAATTTAGATTCTAAAAGTAAAAGGGTTCTTTAATATTTATTGGTCCAGATGGATCTGCTTTTTAATTTTAACAACTGATGGTAGCAAGACGAGACATCACAAACTAAGCATAATAATGTAACGAAATCACAGTAATGGACCCTCCATTACTGTGATTCTTGTTTCTAGCACGGAGAGCCCGGGAATGCCCGAATTTTGTGCTAGACTGCAGTCGGCAACCGTAATGGTAGAGTCATTACAGATTTCCTCCTAAGATGGAATGCCTTATTTCCTGGTGGATAGGGATGGGTTCCTACTCTACATTCATCATACGTTGTTACGTATGCTACAAAAAGCTGATATTTTACGCTAGTGTTCTGTGAGAGCGTGGTCCTTCCCCAGTCGAGCCAACCAATTCGTACTACAACCACCATGTATTGGTTGGGCTGAAAAGTTCGTATCGTCTCTATCAGATGGCGCCACTAGAATAAAATCCATATCATTTTTAGGTAGTACCAACCTTCAAAAGAAACGTGTATAAATTTGACAGCTGTCTGATTATTAGTTTGTGAGATACAGCATTTTGAGTGAAGCAACTTTTGTTATTTTGAAAAAAATGGATAAAAAGGAATTTCGTGTTTTAATGAAACACTATTTTTTGATGAAAAAAAGTGCTGCTGATACCAAAAAGTGGCTTGATGAGTGTTATCTGGACTCTGCGCCGGGCGAAGCAACCATTCGTAAGTGGTTTGCCAAATTCCGTACAGGCCATATGAGCATCGAAGGCGATGAACGCAGTGGACGTCCAAAAGAGGTTGTTACGGACGAAAACATAAAAAAAAATCCACAAAATGATTTTGGAAGATCGTAAATTGAGGTTAATTTGTATAGCTGGCACTCTAAAGATATTAAAGGAACGTGTTGGACATATCGTTCATGAATATTTGGGTATGCGAAAGCTATGTGCAAAGTGGGTGCCGCGCGAGCTCACAATCGACCAAAAACAAGAACGTGTCGATGCTTCAGAGCAATGTTTGGAGCTGTTCAACCGCAATAGAAGTGAATTTTTGCGTCGATATGTGACAATCGATGAAACATGGATCCACCACTACACTCCGGAGTCCAGTCGGCAGTCATCTGAATGGACTGCACGCGATGAACCGAATCCAAAGCGTGGAAAAACTCAACAGTCGGCCGGTAAGGTTATGGCGTCCGTATTTTGGGATGCACATGGAATAATTTTCATCGACTATCTTGGAAAGGGAAAAACCATCAACAGCAACTATTATATAGCGTTATTGGAACGTTTGAAGGACGAAATCGCGAAAAAACGGCTCCATTTGAAGAAGAAGAAAGTGTTGTTTCATCAAGACAATGCGCCGTGTCACAAATCGATGAAAACGATGGCAAAATTGCATGAATTGGGCTTCGAATTGCTTCCGCATCCACCGTATTCTCCAGATTTGACCCCCAGCGACTTTTTCCTGTTCTTAGATCTCAAGAGAATGCTCGCTAGAAAGAAATTTAAAGCCGATGAGGAAGTAATCGCCGAAACAGAGGCCTATTTTGAGGCTAAACACAAATCGTACTACAAAAATGGTATTGAAAAGTTGGAAGATCGCTATAATCGGTGTATCGCCCTCGATGGCAACTATGTTGAATAATAAAATCGAATTTTGCCAAAAAAATGTGTTTTTCTATAAAACGATACGAACTTTTCAGCCCAACGTTAGTTGCAGCATAGCATGTAGAAATGTAATGTGTAATGAGATATAAAGTGGCTCACCGTGTCAGCGTCCCAAGAATGCTCGACGAAGGTGGAGAACTGGACGTGATGTGCCAGCAAGTTAAATTCTATGCAAAATGAACCGTATCTGTATGCGAGGTAAGGTGTAAAGTAGCTCACCGTGTCAGCGTACCGCGGGTGCTCGACGAATGCGGAGAACTCGACGTGCACTAGCAGCGGATTAATTTAATACAAACTGAACCGTATCTATAAATGTAATAAGGTGTAAAGTGGCTCACCGTGTCGGCGTCCCGCAGGTGCTCGACGAATGCGGAGAACTCGACGTGAACTAGCAGCGGACTAATTCAATACAAAATAAACCTATCTATAAATGTAATGAGGTGTAAAGAGGCTCACCATGTCGGCGTCCCGCGGGTGCTCGACGAATGCGGAGAACTCGACGTGAACTAGCAGCGGATTAATTCAATACAAAATGAACCGTATCTATAAGTGTAATAAGGTGTAAAGTGGCTCACCGTGTCGGCGTCCCGCGGGTGCTCGACGAAGGCGGAGAACTCGACGAGGCGCAGCTTGTGCGTGGCGATGGCGCGGCCCTCCCAGGGCGGCGGCGCCACGTCGGGCGCGCCACCCACGCCCACACCCACGCCCATGCCACCCACGCCCTTGTATCCGGCGCCGGGGAACGGCTTCACACTGTACACATGGTAAACCTTGCTCAATGTTCTTTTTTTATTCTATATATAACACGAGATTTTTTTACAGAAAGAGGGTGACAAACGAGCACATAGTCCACCTGATGGTAAGTGGATCCTGTGGCTCATAGACATCTTCATTTATCCTCGATTAAGAATAAAATGCAGATACGTTATCACCCCTCAGGACCAGTTCCATAGAGTTTCCAGTAAAAAGGATCTTCGGTTCTCGAGACTCGCCGTACGAAACGCTTTAAGCTCTTATTGTGTGAAAGCATGGTCCTACCCCGGTCAACAAATCAACAAAATAATATAATATGGTGACTACGGGTAGTAGCAACAATGATGTTTATGCGTTATATATTTTGGGTTTCTTTAGCTCTATGAAAAGTTTATGAAAGTAAGATGGTTGTTGTCTATGGCACAGTATAAATATGTACAGTAAGGAAACTAAGCCTAGTTGAGGACATAATTACCTACGCTCCATGGAAACGATAGTCTTGTGACTGTTGTGAATGTTTTTTATTTTTTTTTTATTTTTGTTATGTAGTGATCAATCAATGGAATTTAAATAATTAGCTTACAAATACAATTTAAGTAGGTAATTTAATGGCGTCGGTTAATCTCAACAAAAGACAATAGTTTGAACACGGAAAACAATTTAATATTAACACACAACAACTTGTAGAGCCATAGATCTTTAACTTTGTCATTACGGCGCAACCTTTTACAAGTTTTGGCGGGAGCATACGTAATAATACGTTCGTGGTATTTTTAAAAAGATCGCGGAGATAAACTTAAAAACTCGTCTTGACGCGGCACTCGCTACTGAGAGTACCGCATCGTTCACTTAGGAGTCTCGTAGATCGTAGTTGTGCATGCTTGGGTGAGTGCGCCGTTTTGAGCGTTTGTAGGGAGTTTCCTAACTGTTCCTATATATTAACTGTGTCTATGGTTTGACAGTTGAGAATGTCAAACTGTGTTGACATTTCTGTTCAGTAAGGTTAGGCAATTCATCATGAATCATTTAACGCCAAAACTACGCTTTCAAATTGTGGAAATTTACTTTGAAAACAATAAATTTGTTCGCGAAATTCATAGAGTACTTCGTTCATTTTACAGTCAACATAATAATCGGCCTACTGAGCAAGCAATTCGTGCACTTATTATATTCGCACCAATTTTACTCTTCTCGATTCAAAACCATCAACAAAACAAAGAAATGTGCGGTACTAAAGAGAATACTGCAGCTGTAGCGGGAAGTGTTGAAGACGACGAAATGTCGATTCGTCGCCGTTCTCAACTTGTTGACCTTTGTCCTTCGACTACGTGGAAAATTTTACGCAAGGATCTTGGCCTACGTGCCTATAAAATACAGCTCGTACAAGAATAAAAGCTAAATGACCATGGTTCACGTCGCATTTTAGCTGATTAGGCTAATTTGAAACTGGCCGAAGATGAGCATTTTTATCGAAGAATTGTGTTTAGTGATGAAGCTCATTTCTGGTTAAATGGCTTCGTGAATAAGCCAAATCGCCGCATATGGAGCGAAGACAATCCTCATGCCATTACATTGTACGTTACTTTACATCCATTAAAACTGACTGGTGCGGCTTATACTTTGGCGGCTTCAACGATCCTTATTTCTTTCGAAATCTGGAAAGAGCTACCGTTACGGTGAATGGCGAGCGCTACTGAGCCATGCTGGCTGATTTTTTGTTTCCAAAAATTAATCAGTTAAACATGTATGACTTTTGGTTCCAACAAGACGGCGCAACTTGCCATAGAGCGCGTTTAACCATCAATTAATTGCAAAATTAATTTGGTGACAACTTTATTTCCAGAAGTGATTCTCTTAAGTGCCCCTCATTTGTGCGACTTAACAGTCATTGGTTTATGCAACCAGCAACTCTTAAAGCATTAGCCAATATTCAAGCCACCATTGAAGCCATACGGCTAGATTTATTGGAAAAAATAGTGAAAAATTGGACTTATCGAATGGACTAGGTAACTTTTAGCTGCGGCAGACATATGACCGAAATAATATTAAAAAAATAAATGCCATGAAATTATCTACCAGATTATAATAAAAAAGATTCAAAATTTAAATTCTATACTCAAAAATTTAATTCAAACAATATTTCTGTCTTGTTTAATATTTAAAGTTGTCAAGCTCTTAAATATATTAAATATTATTTATTATAAATATAAGCCTTTATTACGTTAAATGTTATTTTCAGTAATTCTAGCGATATATTAAAGGATATTTTTTTTATAAATTAAGTAATTGGCAGTAGAAAATTTAAATATTGACTAAGCTTTATAATGTTACAAAATGCTTATGGAGTGTAGAAGCAAGGAGTACCAACTCCCATAGTAGAATAGTTGAAAAAATGGCCCTCTGTAATCAGTAAATAACAGCTCAAAAACTCTCCACAACAGCGCTGGAGTAGCTACTGAGATGAAATGAACTTAGCAGTTGCTCAGTAGCTCTAAAATCTAAAATAATTTTATTTAGTAAATAAAACCTCGAAAAAGTCGTCTATCCCACTAATATTTTTCGGTGTGTTCTTTAAAGTATACCTAGGCTGCACTAAAAGTATCGGGAATGGAATATTTCCACTGTTCCTGTCATATTAAAATATTTTTAATTGAAATCTTGGTTTTAAAAATCGAATACCATTTATTTATTTATAAAAAAGATTCTCGGTCTTGTCACAAGGTTTTGTCAAACTTGTTTAGTCGTTGAGAAAATGGAATTGGCTCGAGAAAATTCAAGAGCGATGATTTATTATGACTTTCGAAGTGGTTTAACACAAAAACAGTGTGTTGACCGGATTGATTTCTGCATTTGGTGATGAAGCCCCATCCAAAACCACAATTTATCGCTAGTTTGCTGAATTTCAACGTGGACGTGTCAAGCTCAGTGATGATCCCCGTCAAGATCGTCCAAAAACTGCAGTCACCCAAGAAAACGTTGATGCTGTGCGTAAGCTGATTGAGGAAGATCGACATGTGTGTGACATACGGCGAAATTCAGGCAACTTTAGACATTGGCATGAGTCAAATACAAATAATCTTGCATGAACAATTAGGTATAAAAAAGTTGTTTTCCCGGTGGATACCGCATTCGCTCTGTGAAGAGCAAAAAGCGCGCGTTACTTGGTGCGTCAGAACTCTCGAAAGATTCCACGCAGGATCCTCAAATGCTGTACACAACATCGTATCAGGTACGTACGATCGTACGAGATACATATATAATATATATATATAAATATATATAAAAAAACCGTCAGAGTTTGGGTGTTCGAAAATGAGTTAAAGCCAACAAAAATTGTTCGTTCACGGAGTGTTGCAAAAAAAAATGGTGGCCACGTTTGTCTCCAAAACCGGCCATGTTACGACTATTTCTCTTGAGGGACAAAGAACGGTTAATGCAGAATGGTATGCTAGCATTTGTTTGCCACAGGTCGTTTCTGAACTCCGTAAAGAGAACTGCAACCGCCGCACCATCCTCCATCACGACAATGCGAGTTCTCACACCGCACACAGAACAAAAGAGTTTTTAGAGAAAGAAAACAAGAATTATTAGACCATCCGCCGTACAGCCCAGACCTAAGCCCTAATGATTTCTATACTTTCCCTAAAATAAAGAATAAATTGCGTGGACAGAGATTTTCATCACCTGAAGACCATACAAAACGGCCATTTTGGAGACACCAACTTTCGAATGGAATGGTTGCTACAATGATTGGTTCTATCGTAAAGCAATAAATACATTTTTAAATAGTAATGTTGTGTCACTTTCTTGATTCCCGAAATTTTCAGTGCCGCCCTCGTACCCCGTAGTTATAGTGGCGCCATCCTTATTTAACGGTTTTCTATGGACACTTTTTAATACACAATCTGTATTCCTTACTTCTACACTCCATAAAATGCTGTTGGTTCTACAGACTTAAAAAAATAAAAAAGCGATAGTCAATTCGCCTCCCAAGCATGACGATCGAAACAAGTCTTTCCTACAATGATAGAGACTGTTGTCTAGATTTTTCGGGTTGATAAAGAAAGAATATAAAGGTAACATAGCTGCACACGAACGGGCCGGCTCGACCGGGGAAAGACCACGCTCTCACAGAATACCAGCGTGAAATAGCAGCTTAATTGTGCTATGTTTCGTATGGTGAGTGTAGAGCACCGGAGACCCTTTTTAATGAAAACGAAGTATTTCGTCTTAGTCCTCCAATGGTGGAAACGCATCTGCATTCCGATTCTCAATGGACCACAGCATCTACTTCCAATCTAGTGGGCTGTGTGCTCATTTGCCACACCCATTCTTTAAAACAAAACATTTTATTCCCGTGTATCATGGGCGTGGTAAGAGTACGACCGACGGGTAGCAGTATCAACGGTAGTTCTTAATGACAGTCGTACATGCCTATCAATAGGCGGTTAATTGGCTGAAAAGACCGCACAATAGATAACTTTTAAGGTACGATTACGTCTTGGTTGAGAAACGAGTTTAAAGTGGACTGACCACGTAAGTGGCAACTGCAGGCGACGTACACCCCCAACAAAGAAAAAATAGTGGGGTACGTATCTGTTATCAACTCTTGAGATAAAATGCTTTACAGACCGTTATTATACTGTCACTCTATAAGCTAACACCGCATCACAGATGTTGCGCCTAAGCTGCGAAAAGAGTCCTCCCACCTTGTAATGTTTCATGTATTCGCTTAAAACATTTAGGAAATGGCACTAACCTCCGAACACTACTGAAACATATTAACTGTACAGAAGGATAGTCAGAATGCTACTGAGTAATTTTATAGACTACCGAATATTTTAAGAAGTTACTTTTGAGATAACGGTATTTAAAGTTTGGCTTAAAGTTCAGTAGTAATGACTTTCCTTAATAGAATAGATAGAAAAAAGATCGATTTAGATTTATTTGACGATATACTATTACAAAATACGAATATGTAACAAATGACCGTGTAAAATAATTAAATTTAAAAGTTGACACATTATCTAATATTGCAGTCTGAAAGCCAACTTCAACATTAATACGTAGCCGTATTACGTAGCAACATTAATACGTAGCCTATTTGTTATTTAAATGAATTAAAGTCAGTGTAGAATGAACTCAAATGCAACAATAAAGTTGAAGGATTATAAAATAATATTTTTTAACATTATAATGATTTCATTCATCTGAAGGATTGTTTTCAGTGCTTGATTTTCAGTGAAAATGATAACAGATCCTTTCTGTAAGGTCTCTTCAAAACAGGATGTGCTACAATAAATTATTTCCCTCCGAAAAATTCTACACAACTTCTATAGTAATGAGATTTATCTTAACTTTAAATAAATCTAAAAAGTTAAAGACTTCAATATAAATAAAATGAGAACATCATCAATGTAGTCGAAGTCAATTAAATAGGCATTATTAAAGATAGCTCAAAAACTACTGGGCAGATTTTGATAAAATGTATGTGGGAGCACATGAGAAGCACCAGTTTTCAAATAAATAAATAAATCATCAAAAACAGTTCAACTAGAAAAAAGTTCTGTTCCTAACCCATTAAAAAAATACAGTCGAATTGAGAACCTCCTCCTTTTATTGAAGTCGGTTGAAAAGAGAATACCCACACGCACTAGAATTATAATTGTGACATATATGTTATTGTTCTCATGTAAGTGACAATTGTGTTAATGAGAAATAGTTCTTTAAACCGAAAAATAGAATATAATTTTTATAAAAAATATAATATATTCTAACGCTAAAACTTACACATAATGTGCACATATATTATAATATTATATTATGTGAACAGGTGTTATATCATATATCAGTGTATAATGTTATGTTTGAGGATAAAAGTGATTGTTTAAGATGACTTCGATTAGGTAATTGTAGTTTTAATATTTTATCCAATGCTACTTTTACTGTGACTCTTATTTCTTAACGAACACACAGACTTGATCATTTTTGCGCAATAATGCCCATATTGTTGTAACGTACGTGTACTTACATGTAAACACAGAATTTTTTACTCGTATCCGACAGTAAAATCGCAGGTATTTGATTAACTTTCGAGTTCTAAGTGGTGGCCACCTGTGAGTACTAGCTGTTGGTATTATTTTATGTTCCGGTTTGAAAGATAAGAAAGTCAGTACAACCACACATTGTGAAGCATTTTATTTTATTTCTTTGGAGTGTCAACTGTCATCTTTATTTGAAGTCGGTAACAGATGTTTTTATTCTCTACAATAGCCATATACCATCGGTTGGAGTGTTAGTTGTTGATCACTGTAATGTTGTATAAAAATGGTAGGCTGCGATGTTATTCTAATAGTAAATACGTTTATATCACCCCCGAAAGTGAAAATAAATGTGAATTTTGCGTAATTATTAACACCTCAGGCTAGGATCCAAAGCTAAGATAAACTAGACTAGACTCTCAATTAAGTGTCCTGTCCTGACTATATTAAACCATGTACTGTACGCGCTGCCCCAATAAGTTAGTAGATCTCAGATCTTGTCTCAGAATATTGTCAATTTACTAAGACGTGCAAATTTCCTCACAAAGTTTTCCTTCACTGCCAAGCACCCTGTTATATCGGCGCTTAAAATTATAATTAACAATAGCAATAGTTCCAGCGGGAATCTAACTCGGGTTGCTTGATATACTACGGTTCCATATTTTCACAAACTTTATTAAAACATGAATGCGGAGTGATGACAATAGATTAGAATTTAGAATTAAAATCATTCGATGGGATGTTGGATTTTGTAATAGAATTCTGGCCGCTTCAACTTCTGTAGAAGCTAAGTTAATTTATAGAAGAGTACGGAGAAATAGTAGTATTTAACTATAATAATAGGTAAGTTCTTTATATGTATGTTCTCCTATAAGGGTGGTATTTTCCATGAGAATAAAAAGCTAAGTTAATTTATAGAAGAGTACGGAGAAATAGTAGTGATGTTAAGCGTAATAATAATAGGTAAGTTCTTTATATGTTATGTTCTCCTATAAGGGTGGTATTTTCCATGAGAATAAAAATCCTTTAAAACAAAAAGCGATAAATATGTTAACTACTTATTCATGAAGTGTACAACATATATTATATACATATATTGGTGACGCTTAACTTATGAAAAACATTATGTAAAACAGTTTTACTTAATGTTTGTCATTAACTACTTACTATATAGCTATTCATAATAATAATATTAACTTACTCTTGTGAGGTACCGGCTTGCAGTCCAGGTTGCCAAAATTGCTGGAATGAGAAATGAAGATTACTGAGGATAATGTATTAAAAAATCATAAATATTTTAATCAAGCAAAATGTATTAAAAAGTAGGCCACGTTGTTAAGAGCAGCAAATCTCTACACACTCTTTAATTGAAGCACATTTCGAATTAGACGGAACACTTTTACACATCTCAAGCTTTAAGGTCAAACTAAGATTATAAAATTACGGGACAATTAATTTTAAAAATATTTTTAAATCTCTAGAAGTTGGTAGTTTTAATTACTCTTTAAAATTATTACTTTGGATCCTCTATATGAATAGTGGCAACCACTGTAAAAAATAACAACACTAGACGAAGAAGATTATTCGCAATAAAGACAAATTTCATTTCCATCTTTTTTTACAGATTTTCATGAAGTAAGTACCAGCAAATTAGTATTGCAGACAATTCATACGTGGTACAATGCATATACATTGTACTTATAACAAGCACAAACTACCCCACACACGTGTTTCAATCAGAAGAAAAGCTTAAAAGTTTTATGCATGGAATCGTTTAAATCTTTTTAATGTATTTAATGTAGGTGGAGATACATTAAGATGAAGAGCATGGTAGTAACAACAGATTAATTAATTTAAATCAAATCAAATAAACTAGTGGATTTAATTGTAAAATTCGAAATTCACATCCCGTCGGTGCAGAAAACACTGAGTTATGTTGTAAGTAAAGCAATTTGAATCTGTGATGTTATTTCGATTATCGCGGCGGTCATTGCGTGAGATGCAGCGGCATGCCTCCTTGTAACACGTTCACTGTCACTCGCCTTCGCCATAAATATATTTGTTGTAAAGCTAAAAGAATATCTTTTTATAAGTTAAAATCTAAATAATTGACCGATGATGGCAACAAGGAAAAGATTCAGAAAATTAACCATCCAAATCAGTGAAGCCAATTTTCGTGATTAATTTTGCATATTTTAAACATACAAAAATGTTGAAATCCACGAATATGTGTGTTTAATATTTTGTACATAAGACCATCGAATACGCTCACACGTTGGATTAGATTATCAAATGAAGTCACGTTCTGAATACAACTGACCAATTTCTCAAGTTAACTTGTTATCGTCAAAGCTTTAACAATCATATCACCATATTACACGTTTACTTAAAAAGGAACAACGCGACAAGTTTTTGCAGCTGTCAAACTAGTTCAAATTTCTGGCCCGGATCGGGCTACAGTCAAGCAAAACATAGGCTCTATCGTAATGCTCACTAGTACCGGGAAGCGAGAACTTGAGAGTTAGGCGAAGCCCGTGTAACGGGGAACGGAGTGTAAGCAACACAGTTTATAGGCAATCTAGTTTTTTTTTTTTTCACCGCCAAGAAACACAAAGGCATGCCTTTTGCAGATGTACCGTATGGTGGTACGCCGGATGCGGCAAGCCCGCAACTATCTGTGCGCTTGACAGTGTGGTCATAGACTGCATCGCCTTCTCTTTCATCACCCCACCGTCCTAGATATTTTATTTATACTTATATTACTTGTTTATTTCTTTACAATGTCGGTGTTAGTTATTAATATTGAAACGTAAATTTCTCACGATAGACGTCAGTAATTTTTTATTTAGATATACATTACAAAAAGAGATAATTTTTGAGGTGTATCAAATTCATCGTCGCCATCGTTACAGCCCTTCACAAGTCCACTGCTGAACATAGGCTTCCGCCAAGGTACGCCACAAAGCACGATCCCGAGCCACCTGCATCCATCGACTTCCTGCATGTCTTACCAGGTCGTCACTCCATCTAGTGGGGGGGTCGCCCTACACTTCGCCTACCGGTACGAGGCTGCCACTCGAGAACCTTTTTTCCCCAACGGTTGTCGGTTCTTCGAACTATATGGCCGGCCCATTGCCACTTCAGCTTACTAATCCGTTGGGCTATGTCGGTCACTCTGGTTTTACTGCGGATATCCTCATTTCTGAGTCTATCACGCAGAGAAACTCCAAGCATAGCCCTCTCCATTGCTCGCTGGGCGACTTTGAGCGTCCTCATACGGCCAGCAGTGAAGGACCACGTCTCAAAACGTATCAAATTGCAAAACTTAAGTTAATTATAATGATTTTTCAAATATTTTAATAAATATTCATGGTTAAACTCGTTCGGTGACTTCAGTAAGGATTGCTCACTTACCACTTTGAGTTTGGCCTGGATTTCGCGCAGCTTCCGCCTGGCCAGCACCTGTATGTGAGACGACACTTGTTTTCTTGTGCGGGTCTTTCCTGTTCTTAATTTAATATATCTCGCTATGAGCTCGTTCCTTCCTGTAACACAATTTATTGAACTCAATTAAATTGTAAAACGAGCCGAATGGGGAAGTTAAAGTAATATGCAGTGACGAAGAAATTAAACCGTAAGAACTTGTGACTGATATGGAGTTTTACCCACGTAAATGTATACCTATGTATATGCATACAAAGGCATACAAGGATACATATACATGTATGTTTATTAACATAAAATTCTAGCTTCAATATGCATATTATGTACATATTTAAATGTCATCTTTTGTTTTTAAATACTTCTTAATATGAAATGAACAATAATTATAGTACATATTATTTAACATATTATTAATCTCGCGTATTATATAGCTAATTCATTTTTAAATGTATACTAATAAATAAAATTGAAGTATCTGTCTGTAATATTAAAATATCTGGCTTATATTAAGTTCAGGGAGCATTTTGTACGCTTGATTCTAAGGAAACATTTCTCACCCATCATCTTTCTTTAACACCCGATTCCTGATCGTAATCTTGTATCAATGTTTGGGAGACGCCTATGTTAAGCAGTGTCATTGTGAAAGCAACAGTGGAATGATAATATTGATGAAGAACGTGTAAAATTCCCAATAAATATAAGAATCGTTACTTAATCCAAAGCTTATGACACGGAATAACAGTCTTTTTGCTCAATTTGGTAACGATGCAAATGATTTGAGTGTGGCATTTGTATAATTCTATCACAACCATAATGAATAACGTCGATAACATGATACATCAAGCTAACGCTAGTGAGCGAGGTAATTGTTTAACCCGTGTTTGAAACGGTGACATCACAGCATCAAATTGCCTAGGCGTGGTCCAAATTAACGCGAACACTTCTGTCATAACCTCACCTGTACGTTAACCAACTAATGTGTTTTTATCAGAATAATTAATCATAAGTTAGACTCAGGACGCATTCTGACTTAGGATATAAAAGAGTGTTACGAAATATTCCTTATAAGTTAATAATAAATAAATTTTAATATGTGGTAACCGCAGTTAACTATGTATGACATCTGAACGTTGAACATCGCAGTCCCCCCCGTGACCATGGGTGCTGTAAAGCGCTCGAAACGTCGGGTGTTTAAAAAGTTAAATATACGCGATAAAATTCGTAAAAACCAGTATTATTTAAATGAAATTCTATCATTATTAATTTCATTGTGAAACTGGTAAGTCATTAATAGATATGTTGTTCAACATAAAAAATGATTAATTACATAATAGGGTACCTTTGCACGGCGTTAGAAAAAGACATATATTTTTCTAAGGCATTACACATATTCCGAAAACTTTAAAACCCGTAAACCGTTATTTTAAGTTTATAAAAATCTTTAGAGCTGTTCTCAAGAACGCGACTTCAAACATACATATATTATATATTGCTTGTATAATGGTACAGAATTGAACTTTTCAAGCACAACATCCTTATATCATTCTTAATTTGTCATTTTTTTATATCAAATATTTCTGTTAATATTTAGATTGCTCATCCATTGTAAAAAGATGACCCACGCAGCAATAAATTTAAATTCATTAACTAAACTGGCATTGAAAACCTCGTTAATTGGGCGGATATTTTTTTTTCATATTTAAAACACTCGACAAAGTATTTATAAATGGAGAAAATAAAAAGCTCCACGAGCGCTCGCCAATTGACATAACCCGCGAGATACTTTGAATTGCTGAATCAGTGCAAACGCGCTTCACAATGCGGCGCTGCGCCGACCCCAGTACCGTGGCCCGTTATGAAACAATTTTCAAAATATTTTGAATAGAGCTATTTTCAATAATTGAAACTGCAATTGGAGAGGAATGCGCCGAGTAGCTGTGGGAGAAGTGCAAATTTATTTTATTAGTCGATCGAATTTATCGTACAATTGCGATTTACATTCATTGTATAAATATCTACAACATGTAGCACAATTAACGCACATCCTGAAAGTAATTTGTTCAGAATCGTTTACTTAATCGATTTCTATCATTTTTAATATAAGTAATTTTTTATCCCAAAAATTATTAAAACTACGTAAATCACAGTCACACTAAACCTGTACAGTCAAAACAAACTGAAATGGACCGTAACTCAAGGCAATAAGACTTTTAAAAGAGCAGTTTTATTTGTATTAACACAAATTCCGTCATGCAATACAAAATAAAGAAAAATTAACCTTATTTCAAGCATGTTTAAGTCTTTGTGTTCGTGGATATGTACTGTGACCACAATATTCTTCCGGAATTAGTACAACTAATTTAATAAAAAATCAATGCATAAATATGTTTAACTAAAAAGTCAGCGTGTGAAATCGATTCAGTAAACGATTCTGAACAAACTACTTTCAGGATGTGCGTTAGTTATGTTACATGTTATAAAAAACAATGGATGTCCGTTATGTCAAATACTCAAACGCTACTTAATTTTGAAATGTCGTTAAGTCTCGTGACGTCACAGTCACTGAGTAAAGTAAAGTGAGAAAGAGCACGAGACTTAACGGCATCATAAACTTGAACGTTTGAGTATTTGGGCATTAGTCTCGCAAAAACTTAAAAATGGCTATACCTACCGTTTTAAATTGTTTGTGTTTTTTGAACATTTTTGGCTTGGTGTGGCCATTTTTGGCTCTGGATGGTTTAATAACTCAATTGGATCCGGTAGGTGGCGCTATTATCGCGACCGTAAAATCACCCGTGGAAAGCCGGGGCGGATAGTTAGTATACAAACTGCAGTAATGTTATCCGCAAATTATTTAATTGTAACGTGTAGTGGCGGTGTAAGAATATTCACATTTTTTATAGAATTTTTTAGGGTGACAAGCGAGCATACAGTCTACCTGATAGTAAGTGGATGCTGTGGCCCATAGACATCCACATTTATCCTCATTTATGAATCAAAATGCTAATGCATTGTCACCACTGAGGACTAAGATAGAATATCTCAATTCCAGTAAAACGGGTCTCCGGTTCTCTACACTCACCATACGAAACACAGCAGCATCTAGCCGCTATTTTACGCTGGTATTCTGTGAGAGCGTGGTCCTGTCCCGGTCGAGCCGACCATTTCTTGCTACAACCACAATATAACTGCAGCATGGTTCTACCACGTATAAATATATCGTCTCGTAAGTGTCTTAAGAGTCGACAGAAGGAAACGAACTAAGTGATTGGCAGCATCGTCTTCTAATAACGAATTAAAAAAACTGCGGTTGCCAACTCGCCTGCTCAAGCTACTCGTAGTAAGTTAGAACTATAGCAAATATATTTTTATATTTGCTATAGTTCTAGCTTGGTAGGCGTACTGTTCACCTGATGTTAAGTGACTACCGCAGCCCATGAACAACAGGAACACCAGGGAAATTGCAGGTGCGTTGCCGGCCCTTTAGAAAGGAGTAAGCTCTTTTCTTGAAGATCTCTAGATCGTATCTGTCCGGAAAAATCGCCGGTGGTAAATTATTCCACAGAGAGGTCGTACGCGGAAGAAAACTCCCAGTGAAACGTACAGCGGTTGACCGCCAAGCATCCAGATGGTGTAGATGGTATCGGGAGGTTTGCCACGTAATGCGTTCATGAAATTTGGCGGCTGGGATTAATCCGAACAATTCCTCAGAGCACCCCCGTGATAGATGCGATAAAATTCGCAAAGAGATGCAACATCTCTTCGCAGCGCCAGTGAATCGATCCGATTGGAAAGCACTCGGTCGTCGAGTGCATCCCCCTATGAGGCAATATATGGGGAAGGCCTATGTTCAGCAATGGTCTTTAAATAAACTGTAACAATAACTAATTGATAGAATCAGGCGTTACTTTGTGGAAATTCATTATCTCCTCAAACCAGGTGAGACATCATTGTAAATTAAATATTAATATTTTTTGTAACGGTAACTGTATAATATATATTGATGGATGAATAATAAGTTTGGAATAACTTCATTGATGACTTATTCAATTCTTTTTCCACGGTTTTGTCACGGTAATATCTTCCGAGGACTATTAAAAGCTTTCAAATAAGCAGGAAATTACACAATATATTAAAGTGCCGTAAGTGCAAACGCAAACAAAGAGGCACTCACCTACTCATCCCGAACGTAATCATCCGAAGTATCATGGGAACGTTTACAAAAAGTCAATACTGTCAAATATTTTTTTTTTAAATTGCGCACATATTGGCTCTCTCTGTAATAGCTACTAAGTCATACGATTATCTTAAAATAGCTAATTAGTTTGAAGACACATGTGTAAGTATTTAGTTTTTACGTGGTAGAGCCACGCCGTACTTATGGTTTTTTTTTAAATAGATGTCTCAATTCATCTGCTGTTATTTATTTTACAGCACCATTTATTTCTGGGTGTTTGTAATTCTTCTATTTTTTTGTGTTTTCTGAGTTTTTTTTTATTTATTTATATATAATTTTTTTAAGTATTTTACATTTTATTGTTTACAGTATTTCGCGTATGTGTCCTTATAAATCCAAGTTTTTTTTATAGAAGAGGGGGCAAACGAGAATGCGGCTCACCTGATGTTAAGTGACTACCGCCGCCCATGATCAACCGCAACACCAGGGGAATCGCAGGTGCATTGCCGGCCCTATAGAAAGTAGTACGCTCTTTTCTTGAAGGTCCCCAGGTCGTATCGGTCCGGAAAAAATCGCTGGTGGTAAACTATTCCACAGAGAGGTTGTACGCGGAAGAAAACTCCTCTTGAAACGTACAGTGGTGGACCGCCAAGCATCCAGATGGTGTGGATGGTATCGGGACGTTTGCCGCGTAGTGCGTTCACGAAATTTGGCGGCTGGGATTAATCCGAACAATTCCTCAGAGCACTCTCCATGGTATATGCGAAAGAAAATGCAAATAGATGCAACATCTCTTCGCATTGCCAGTGAATCGAGCGATCGGAAAGCACTCGGTCGTCGACGATTCGAGCCGCTCTGCGCTGGATGCGGTCAAGTGGAAGGTAGCTGGTACTGGGGAGCCCCAGCCCAGAGATGGGAACAGTA